TTTTGACATAATTTTTGTGTGAATTTGTCCATTCAAACACAATACTTCACAGAGAGCTTAATATCTGCGGGCGGTCTGAGACGAGGGTTCAGGCGCTTCAGATGAGCGACCACACAGATCTTCTCACTGCGAGCGCGAGTTCACATCTTCTGGCTCTTTAATATTTAAACTGGCAAGGCTTAAATGAGTTTAGTTTAAACACGGATAGCGACGTGTGCTGTTCTGGTCTCACCTGCGCTATCAACACGTGATGACGGTATAAACGACAGTTATTCCAGCATACAGCACTCGCATTGATTAAAGAGGGACTGGTTTGTCCACGTATTGGTTTTTCTCTCTCTCATCGCTCTTGTTGTAATGTATTGGGAAGCCAGAATTTGTATCCATCAACAGAAACATGCATTAGCCGAACTCTAACAAACCATATTACAGATGCATTGTCAGATTTAAGTTGAACCGCGTGCGGTCCTAGTGCATGCCGAACCGTGTGTGGAGAACCGTACGGTTCGATATTTTACCGAGAACCGTTGCACCCCTAACACACACACACACACATTGTTAGAGAATATTCTATATTCTAATTCTGTAAAAACAACAAAATCACTCACTTATTTATACATTTTTGTTACTTTATTTGGGTACATTCATTTACTATAAAAAATACTGTGATTTGAGTGTTAATATTTAATGTAAGTGAAAACCTCTAACATACTGTTTGACCAATATTGTTATAGGAGAAATTTGTCTTTAGGAATGTTTTAACAAAGATACTCACTTGACAAACTCACCTTTTCTTCGCACAAATGAAACGAAGGCTGCATTCCAATCTGCATGATTAATGCTTTCAGAGGGCACTTCGAAGGGAGAATAATTGCGAGGGCCACACTACTATATAGTTTCAAACTGAATTTGTAATAAAAACAATATTTAAAGGCGAATTAGGTAAGATCTAAGCACCACAACTTTAACTCTTCCAAATCACTCAAAGTGGATGGTGAAATCTTAGAAAGGATTAGGGCATAGGGTTGATAATTCTGAATAGAACACAACCCATGTGCAGTGCAATCAATGACGTCGACACAGCAAACTAACAATAACCTATGCCTCTAACCACAGGTGAAATTGCGATGCAGTTTGCGAATGTTCATTTGAACTATGGTTTCATGTTGGTAATGACGGAACTTGCGACCATAGTTGGCTAATGATGCTTTTGGGAAACGCACCCCAGGTTAGTTTCTCAGAGTAAGTTACTACTAAACCTCATGGCCTTGAGAGTCTCTGGATCAAACCAGAGGACAATGCTACACCTTGTAGGGATTCCTAGCAATAACAGGCACTGATATGCCCCTATCAGCCATCATGAGGTCTAAACTAATCACCCCAGCACATGATTCCAATGCTCTGGGTCGACTTCCTGTCAGTCTTGCCTCATCTACTCAGAGGAGTGATAAAAAACTGATCCAATCAGGAGATAACACAGAGATCTTTTGTATCAGGACTACAACTTATAGATACCTTGTGATGTCTTGTGACCACCAATGAATGGAACTATTACATCCAACAGGAAAAGGATGAGTAAATTAACTGATGCCCTCAGGCCTGCAAACACGGGATCTATACGTGATCATCACATGACCCATTGAACATCTGCTTCCTGCCCCTTCCTGAAACCCAACGGACCCGCGTCCTTTTCTTACAACAAAAGAAACAGAAACTTGCATGACGATCATAAAAGACAATCATTTAAAATAATTTAAAGTATTGGAGCAATATACTCCCAAATAATATGCTTTCTGTTTGATGTGTTATTAAAACCATGATATCTTAATCTTTGCCTTATAACTTTTCCTTTTAGTAATTAAGATTATTGTGTATGCAAAATACCTGTTATTTGAGCTTGAATGAAAGCTTATTTTATGTGAGAAACTTTGGTATGAACGAGAAGTGGGAAATATGTACGATACTTGCATTAAGAAACTTTATAGAAGTATTAACAAACTTGTCGCAGAGATATTTCCCCACATGATAAATTGAAGCATCAGGTTAATGTATGCACGCTCCGCCTTGCAACCAGTCGATTGGAAGATCGCGCCGTGGGGCGGACCAAAAGTCAGCGTGCTTAAAAATGGACACAAAGCCCTCGTGGCTGGCTCGCTCTCTCTCTCTCTAGAACTGTGGCTTGTCGCCTTGGTGACCAAGCGACAAAGCACTCCCATGCCGTAACATCCCGAGCGAGACTCCAAAACTCAAACACTTCAGTTGAAACTTCGTGATTGCCAGAGATCTTCAAAAGCCTAAAGTCTTGCAAACTCAGACTTTTCAGAAGAACTGCTCAAGCCTCTGCGTCATCAAGAAACCAACCAATCTCCGAAGGGAATTCCCAGAAACCAAGTCATCCAGACACCCGACCAGCAACCAATCAAATGCCGGGATTCCCTCCAGCAGCCAACGAGGAAACCCCTCCACTTCTCAGCTGTCACAAACGCAAGTAACAAACAGAAATCTTTTCATCTCTTGCTGAACTGGTGAATTTATCTTTTAGCAGTAAACGCAAGATAAATCTCTGTTTTGTGATTCTCTCAGTATGAATTAAAAAAAACTTGTGGAAAACGAGTTAGAACTTTGAGAACTTTATGCAAACTCTGCTAACTTTCATTCTTGTATGTATGTGTTTTAGCTTAGTTTAATGTAATCTAGAATAGCCAATAAATTCTTGTTTCATTTATAAAGAAGTATTGTCTGGTGTCGTGAAATTTTGTAAAGTTAAAACTCTGCCAAGATCCTTGTTACCTTGCTCAAAATTAATAAGATTACCATTTTGTTTATGTGTCGTTGGCCACAAAGTAATATGAACAGAATTGTTAATATACACGGACGTTAACGTCTCGCGGGACGAGTAGTTGATAAAGTGTAAACTATCAAATTTGAAATCAGGTCTTTTGAATAATTAATTTCATTGTAAACTCAATGAGTTAAATTCCTTACAACCTGCAGCACTCTCCAATAATTTCTCTTTTTCCCACTCCGCCTGTCTAACTGGAAGAGATGGAGATACTGGTCTGCTTATCTCTAATGATTGGAAATGTAATCCTTTACCATCTCTGAGTATCAACAGCTCCTTTGAATCACATTCAGCCACTATTACCCACCCTCTTAAACAAGTTTACCAAATAAGCCTGGCTTATTTCAGTTAGTCTGACTTATTGTCACTTGATTTGGTTTCAGAAAGCAAATTTACCATAGCTCAGTCACTGTGGCAACTTATGCTGGGAAACTAACCTGGTCCAGAGCAGGCTAACTGTCAGGCTAAGCTGAGCTCCTCTAACACTGACCAATAGGAACGCATTGATATTACCACTGCAATGACTTTCCCACATACAGTTAGTTGACTTTATTGATCCAAAAATAAAAGTATATATAAAATGCAACTTAAATGAAATATAAAAATATAGGCTACAACCAACTGTATTTAATGTATTGTGCCCAAAATGTAATGATCTTTTTTTTTTAAAGATGTATAAAAACATTTTAACATGCTGCTACATGCGCATTCAGTTGATCAGCAGTTTCTAGCCATGCAGCCTTTCTCTCAGGTATGACAACTGTACCTTTTATGGTTATTAGTAGAACATTAAAACATTATGTAACGGGACTAGGTGATTGACAGCAGTGTTTGACTATCAGCGAGTTGTATCTTCTATTTAAAGGCCGATTGGCTGTTACCTGCGATGCGTCACGTCCGTTTTCCCCTTTTGTTTGCCTGTGTTGATGGTGGCTGTAGTGCGTCTTTTGTTCTGGTGCTGGTGCCCTTCAGTGCTGCTTAGTGGATTTGATGACGGTTCACCTCTCAGGTACGTGTCTTTTTACGAGCTCGTTATATTGGTCTAGTATGCTTATGGGGCTTAACATTTTATTGCATGCTAAACAGGCATGATGTCCTGTATCCCATTGTGCTATCGGTGTCAAGGAAAACACAGATTCAGTTTGCAGGTAACAGAAAAAGTTTATTACGCTCTCACTGAGCAATAGGGAAAGTCAACAGGAACAAAAAAAATAGAGGAAACCCCAAATCAAAGTCCACAGGACCAGGAAAGAGCCTCTCAGCAGGGACCGATCCTAGCGTCATCCGTGATGCAGCGTCAAAGTTGCACTGACCAGAGCATCGTCCGTGACACAGCGTTGAGGACTCACTGAGCTCCCAGATGAGAGCGTTGAGCATGCAGAGAGGGGCTAGGGCGATGTCTCAGAATCTCGACAGAGCTAGAGATAGCCAGGGCAGGTAGCAGAACATATAATGACTGGCAGGATGAGAAGAAGTTCTAAAACAAAAACAGCACTCAGGGCTGAAAAGACACAACACGGCAAGACAACGCAAACATGACAAGAAGGTCACACGCAAAGCGTTGCACAACATACAACAACGGTCTGACAAAAGACTGAGCACGAGAGGATCTAAAATAGGGAAGGGCTAATGAGGAATGAATGGCAACAGGTGTGACAGAAAACACAAGAGAATTAAGGATAAGAGTGGGAGGGGAAAAACACCACACAGACAGGTCCACCCCTGGTGTAGTTCCACATTTAACACTTCAATGAAGCATGCGTTTAAGTTTATCATGTCTTAGTTAAAACGTTTCTTTTGTTTTTTGTAAGTTCCAAAATTTATTTATTCGGAAGTTGAGACATGTATCGTTGTACTCCAGTTCTTGCCTCTTGTTTTCCAGATGGCCCCTTGTCTTGTCCTTATGCAAGCCAAAATCCAAACCCGCCAGTGGTAGCAAAGTGCAACTTGGCTGTTCTGCTGTCTTTGAAGAATGTATCTGGGCTAGATATCCAAAAGGGTAATATTTTCTGATACTTTACCATGAGGAAAGCTAGTTTCATCTTAGCTGAGATGTTTTATGTAGGTATTGATGTGAATTTTGTCTGCAGAGTCCAGCCCTCTCCCTGTCAAGGAGTCAGGCACTTTACCCGCTGAGGTTGATGGGAAGCTGACTGTGTCTAGCCCTCTGCCTGCTGAGACCAGTTCACAGCCTGTCAAGGAGTCCAACACTCTCCCAGCTGCAGAGTCCAGCTCTAACCTAATTGCGGAGTCTAGCACTATCCCAGCTCGGGAATCTAGCTCTCTGCCTGCTGAGGAGCCCAGCCCTCACCCAGTTGCAGAGTCCAGACCCCAGTCTACCAAGGAGGCCAGTGCAATCCCAGCTGGGGAGTCCAGCTCTCTGCCTGCTGAGGAGTCCAGCCCCCAGCCTACCAAGGAGTCCAGTGCAATCCCAGCTGGGGAACCTAGCTCTCTGGCTGCTGAGGAGTCCAGGCCCCAGCCTGGCAAGGAACCCAGCCCTCAACCAGTTGCAGAATCCATCCCCCGGCCTACCATGGAGTCAAATGCTGTCCCAGCTGGGGAACCTAGCTCTCTGCCTGCTGAGGAATCCAATGTTATCCCAACTGGGGGATCTAGCTCCCTGCATGCTGAGGAGCCCAGCCCTCACCCAGTTGCGGAGTCCAGCCCCCAGCCTGACAAGGAGCCCAGTGCCACTCTCCAAGTCCAATCCTCTGACTGCTGAGTCCAGCCCTCACCCAGTTGCAGAGTCCAGCCCCCAGCCTACCAAGGAACCAAGGAATATCCCAACTGGGGGATCTAGCTCCCTGCATGCTGAGGAGCCCAGCCCTCACCCAGTTGCGGAGTCCTGCCCCCAGTCTACCAAGGAGGCCAGTGCAATCCCTGCTGGGGAATTCAGCTCTCTGGCTGCTGAGGAGTCCAGCCCCCAGCTTGCCAAGGTGTTCAGCCCTCACCCAGTTGCAGAGTCCAGCCCCCAGCCTACCAAGGAATCCAGTGTTATCCCAACTGGGGGATCTAGCTCCCTGCATGCTGAGGAGTCCAGCCCTCACCCAGTTGCGGAGTCCTGCCCCCAGTCTACCAAGGAGGCCAGTGCAATCCCTGCTGGGGAATTCAGCTCTCTGGCTGCTGAGGAGTCCAGCCCCCAGCTTGCCAAGGTGTTCAGCCCTCACCCAGTTGCAGAGTCCAGCCCCCAGCCTACCAAGGAATCCAGTGTTATCCCAACTGGGGGATCTAGCTCCCTGCATGCTGAGGAGTCCAGCCCTCACCCAGTTGCGGAGTCCAGCCCCCAGCCTACCATGGAATCCAGTGTTATCCCAACTGGGGGATCTAGCTCCCTGCATGCTGAGGAGTCCATCCCCCGGCCTACCATGGAGTCAAATGCTGTCCCAGCTGGGGAACCTAGCTCTCTGCCTGCCGCGGAGTCCAGCCCCCAGCTTGCCAAGGTGTCCAGCACTCTACCAGCTGGGGAATCTAGCTCTCTGTCTGCTGAGGAGTCCAGCCCCCAGCCTGCCAAGGAGGCCAGTGCAATCCCAGCTGGGGAATCTAGCTCTCTGGCTGCTGAGGAGTCCAGCCCCCAGCCTACCAAGGAGTCCAGTGCAATCCCAGCTGGGGAACCTAGCTCTCTGGCTGCTGAGGAGTCCAGGCCCCAGCCTGGCAAGGAACCCAGCCCTCAACCAGTTGCAGAGTCCAGCCCCCAGCCTACCAAGGAATCCAGTGTTATCCCAACTGGGGGAGCTAGCTCTCTGCCTGCTGAGGAATCCAATGTTATCCCAACTGGGGGATCTAGCTCCCTGCATGCTGAGGAGCCCAGCCCCCAGTCTACCAAGGAGGCCAATCCTATCCCAGGTGGAGAATCTAGCTCCCTGCATGCTGAGG